TTTTTTTTTTTTTGGCGACATGCCTCGTGCACTCTTGGGATGTTAGCATTACATTAGGATAGGGAATATTGATAAGCATCGATGGCAATGGAGCTGAGGACTGTGACTGAACCGGTGGCATCACCTATTAAGCCAACTAAGGCAAAAGTGGATTGATGGACTATATCATGTATGTTTACATCTACATTTGTTGAGTGGGGTTTAAGAATACATTGATGGAGATGAGTAGGTGGCTCAGAGTCATCCCTAGGGGCTAGATACTTCGGTCATTGAATAGGTACTAGTATCTCATTAGTGTTTGTGTCGATGTGAAGTTATTGATATGCAGAAAGGGTGATTGTTATCTTCTGCAAGTGAAAATACAACGGGTCAAGAACAAAGACTCTTTGCTCAAGTATTCATTAAGAGGATCGACGAACAAATATTCCTACGATATTGGGCTCTCTTTTTAGTATTGAAAATATTATAGAAAGATATTATTGACTACCAAGTTAGCCCTACATGGTTCTAATCCATGTGCGTAGAATTTGTCCGAGGTGCCTTCAAAGTAAAAACACTGATCTCCCAAGGTGCCACATACCTGAAGAATAAGATCTATAGAGGTTTCTTGACTCGATCCTTCTGACACCTGAGTTAATCACATGAGGAAGGTGAGTGTGGTGATGAGCAATAAAAAAGAGATCTCTGAATAACTATGTTAAAAATAAATTTTTATACTTGATGATCATAGAGGGATAATAGAGGAATAAAATATTCTATAAGAGATAGCCCTGAACCGTCACTCTCATTGTTCTTTTGTCCATTCTAGGAGAACAAATCAAGAGGACAAGAAGACAACTTGTCTCCCTCTTACTAGCTTAGATGATCAATGATAGTCTCCTATCACTATTTAAAAGTACATGCAAGCTCCTTGATAGAAAATATAATCATGATTTGATGTCACAAAGCAATTTATCGTCAAGTTTGACAAATGGACCAGTCATTTATATCTACTCTCGTACTTAATATCTTAGCCATTGTGGAATCATGGAGCTGAATAGAAAGCCTACGTCACAGCCTCGCAACTCAAACTGTTAATTGCTTATCATCTTGATTGGCACAATTATGAATGTGCAGAAAATTATGAGCGGTAAGATCTCTATAATCAATAAAATATTCCGCCTATCAACTTTAAATGTAGAAAGCAAATATTGTTTTGATTTCACATATCACACTGTCATCTGCACAATTTTTCTCAACCGAACCCACAACAATTGCAAAAGGAGACTGTAGAAGAAAGTTTGCGCAGCAATGTAGCTGATGAATCATACGTCGGAGGAAAACTGCACCGAATGAGAATAATGAGAACCAACCCTAACCACAGAAGGAGAATGTCATGCGTGAGAATATATATTTTTTAATTTTTAAAATTTTCCTTTTGGTTTTTATGCTTAGACCAAAATATCATGATTAAGATCAATAAAAAAAATGAATCAATTTAAATTTGAGTTCTTCTTATTTGAATGGTGTAACCCGTTTTTGATGGTATGATTCCATTGTCCACGTAAAGAAATACGCAAGACCAAATGCGTCGTCTTTATCCAAATATGTTTGAATTATCACGCAAGAGATCAAAGCCATCGTAGAGCTATGAATGAAGTAACATCATAGTAACTTATTGTAATATCTTAAATCGAAAATTGGTATAAAAAAAAATTAGATTGATTACTATCAGTATATTATTATTAATTTCGAGTTAAGTATTTTGAGTCGGATCAAATCATGACATTTATTCCAATGCAATCATAGAATAGTTTTCATAATATTGGTTTTCTTATTATTTTTTATTAAGATATTTTAATGAGTATCGTATTATTGTATAATTGAAAAGTCTTATATTTTTAAGTATATACGAGAATTGTATTGGAATACTATGCCTAGGAGACGTTTATATATGGTATGTATTGCATGATAAAATAATTTTACTTCAAACTAGCCAAATAAATCTTGGCAATAATTGATAGGCTCGGAAGAGAACGAAAGCTAACATGGTAGTCTTATCAATCACATAATTTATATACCTAATCTTGTTAGGTTGTGTGTCTCACTAACTTATGATAAGATATATTAATATTTTAAAAACTTAATTAGATTTTGATTAAAGTTATCGATGAATAGAAAAGAGTATTAATCTTGTATATATAATGATACACTCACTTTATTTTCTTCATCACGTAGATCTAAGGTTTTTGATTCAATAATAATATCAAAAGGTATGTGATATTATTTGGATAAATAATTTTTTTTTATTTTTAATCCTGGCTTAATTGTATTCCTTAAGATAGTTTAATTTAGAGTCGTATTTTTATTCATCGCAAATTCCAAAATCCCAACATGCAGAGGGCGACGAGAAAGTCCGTCCAATTTCTTTGTGGTGGGGATTGCGTTGAAGATGATGGCAAGAAAAATGAACCCATGCATCTCACGTTTTAATCAATGGTGGCAACTCCTAATTAATCCTCTCATAATAATTCAAAGAAAACAAAACAAAACAAAACAAAACAAAACAAAAAAACTCACCTAATCCTCGACAATGCAAGAGCAATTTATTTTTTTATTTAAATAAATTGATTAATTTAAGAATATTTTCTATTATGTAATAGATTATCAATCATATTTATTCGGTGAGTAGAAAATAAAAATAAATGTAAAAAAAGGGGGAGAAAAATCAAATTGGAACGAAGAGTATAAATCTTGACTAGAGATAATAAAAATTTATCAATCAAGAATATCATCAATAATGAAGATTATCTTCAAATCAAGTCAAGAATATTGTGATTATATATTTGATTTGATGTTACTATAATTTTTTTTTTTATTTCTGTAATTTTTATTTTATTTTTATACTTGAACAAAATATTGTAATTAATGAAAAATAAATCAATTTAAAATTGAGTTCTTCCTACGTGAATGGTGTGATGCATTATCCACGTGAGAGACTTTCATCCTAGGAGCGTTCTTCACGAAAGTGTTCTTCTTTAAGTCAAAACTAGCCAACTTATTATTATTATTATTTTAATTATTTTATAGGATTATTATCTTTCTATTCCTCTATTTTTGTTCCTTTATTATCAAGAAAAAAAAATGCTCTCACAAAAAGAAAAAAAGACAAAAAAAAAATAGCCCTCGGACACCATTAAGTAATAGTGTATGAGTTTGAGGTAACATGACAACACTTACAAGAAAGAAGAAGAAGGTATCATTCGAGGTGCATGCATGGGATATCAACTCGTGTACTTTGTTGGAGTACAATAATCGAGAGACAGCCAACAATAATTGAGAGGCACCCAACACCAACTTCTTTTATCTTTTACCTTGGAAAGTGTTCGATACTGATATCGTGTGTTGACATCCAACCCTTCGCATGATCCAAAATCCAAAGAATGACAAATGACTGTCCGACGTAAATATTGGAATCATAGGACGAGATATTTAGACAGTGGAAACACATGCATGATCATGTGCAGCAACAGGGGACAAGTCTCCTCCCTTATCCACTTCTCCTATATAAGAGAGTAGTATGCCATGGATTAGTTCTGTGAAGGAAGGAAGGAAGGAAGAGAGCAGCATCCTCGTGGTTCGATATGGCGAGCTTGCCACCACTGCAACTAGCAGTCCTGTGCCTGTTGCTTGCACTCACCGGAAGACTGCGTGCCGAACCATCATGCATCGCAGTCTACTGGGGCCAAAACGGCTACGAGGGAGGCTTACGAGACGCCTGTGCCACCGGCTACTACAAGTACGTCCTCGTAGCCTTCCTCAACCAGTTCGGCAACGGACGGATTCCACAGATGAACCTCGCCGGCCACTGTGACCCCAACAGCGGCGGCTGCACTTTCCTGAGCGGCGACATCATCTCGTGCCAGCAGGACCACAACGTCACGGTGATGCTCTCCCTGGGCGGTGCCATCGGCAACTACAACCTGGTGTCCGAGGAGGATGCCAGGGAGGTCGCCACCTACATCTGGAACAATTTCTTGGGCGGTTCTTCCGCCAATCGACCCCTCGGGAACGCCGTCTTGGACGGAGTAGACTTGGACATCGAAAGTGGGGGTGCCGCTCACTACGACGATCTTGTTCGCTACTTGAAGGCCTACGATACGCCGAAGCGGAAAGTCTACTTGAGCGCGGCTCCGCAGTGCGTCTTCCCAGACGCACACCTTCAACCTGCGATCGACACCGGTCTCTTGGACTACCTGTGGGTGCAGTTCTACAACAACTACTGCCAGTACTCCACCGGCAACGAGGGCACCTTTGTTCAGGTATGGAACCGGTGGCTTTCCGTAAACGTAAGTAAGGTGTTCCTCGGACTCCCTGCTTCTCCTGCCGCAGCCGGAAGTGGCTACGTCGCACCTGATGTCCTCATAAATAAAGTTCTTCCCCTCGTCAAGCCCTCAGAGAAGTACGGAGGAATTATGCTATGGAACAGATACTATGACCTGATCAATAACTTTAGTGCTCGGGTGAAGGACTACGTGTGCCCTGATCGTCGTCTGTACTCCATCGCGTCTACTTTGGTGCCGTCGTCTGCCGTGTGAACTGGAACTGTGTGAGCGTCCAGTTATGATGCTGCGCCTGTGGTGTCCTCTAATAATACAATAAACACCTGCTGTGATTGCGCAATGATATGTCCCCATCTTAATATTTTCTCTAATAATAATAATAATAATAATAATAATAATAATAATAATAATAACAACAACAACAACAACAACAAACCTTTTCTTACATCCTTCATTTGGACAATGAGTATAGATTTTCTACCTATACCTACACGAGAGGATTAGTAAAATTCACGTTAAGACAATGATTTATACGTTCGGATTTCTTTTCATCTTTTTTTAATCATTCATTCAATATTTTGCTCAGTTTTTACTATTATTTCTTTACCATTGCTCTAATAGTTTAACCACACTTGTCCTTGTTACATACATGGGCTTCATTCTTATACTTCAGATCCAATATATGTCTTTTCTTTATGTTGCTTAACTTTAGCAGATCCGATAAGGATTATATCAACACAGTGACAATTGTTTATGCATGCATTAGTCCCTCCTTGTGTTGCACAGGTACAAAGTAAACATAAGAACGACGTTGAAATATATTATGCATACGTGAATGAATTATCACGCAGGAGAACACATCCATCATAGACCTGTGAATGATGTAACTTATTGTAACATCTTGATTTAGTCATTATCAACATCTTAATTTTTGAGTCAGATCAGAGTGTGACACTTAATTCCAATGCTCTTATCGTAGAATAGTTCTCAGAATATTGGATTTTCTTATTATCTTTGTTATATAGCAGGCCTCAAATCTAAAATGGTTTCACGAAGTCCAAGGCATGTGATTCAATAATAATATATGAATGTATGTGATATTATTCTCAAGCAATGATATTTTTGAATTTAATCCTGAGTTAATTGTATTAATTTTATAAATCTAACAAAAACATATATATATATATATATATATATATATATATAACTAAATTTGAATAATATAAGCTATCATCTATTTCAGAGAGCAGTTTTAGAATCGAATGGCGATGTTTTGTTAGCAGAGATGGAGGAAAATGACGATAATGACAAGAAGATAGCACCACAAAACAAACACGTGAAAATTAAGAGAAGCACCTTTGTTCAGCAATAATTTAGAGTCCTATTCCTATTATTCGCAATGTCCAAAATCCCAAGAAGAAGACACGAGAAAGCCCGCCCATTTCTTTCACACTAAGTTGCATTGCGTTGAAGATGATGGCAATAACAAAGAACCGGGTGCATCTCACGTTTTAATTAGTGGTGGCAACTCCTTGGTCTTGATCAATCTAACTGATAAATGAATCGAGTTCTTCTCACTTTGTGTGTGAGTGGTGTTAGTTTGATAAGTCGGGAAAACTAAGTTTGTTATCTCCTATTGTAACTATAAATAAGGGCCTGAGTTTTAAAGTCAGATACACCACAAGAAAACCTAATTGTTTACTTTAGATTTTTCTTGTTCAATGGTTTTCAGTGTTTTATAGCACAGGGACATCTTTCTAAGGCATTTGTAATAGTCTTTTTATAGTAGTGTTTTGCTCCTCCTTCGTCCATGGATGTAGGTCAATTGACCGAACCACATAAATTTGGTGTTCTTGTCTCTTTTATTTTTCTGCTTTATTGTCTTTATTAGGTTGTCAAATTATCCTTTTGGTAAAATTTCCTGAGGCCAGCTCTAACAAACTGGTATCAGAGCCTGGTTTCGGGATCTTTTGGTAACGATGACAATAACAAAGATCGTTGTCGAGAAATTCGATAGAAATGTCAACTTCGACATGTGGCAACTCAAGATGGAGTAGATAGACAGAGATATCACTATGAAAAGTAGAGGAAATCAAGCTGAAGATCTAATTGTCAAGGGTAGAACGGATAAAAAAGAATTGATAATAATGATCTAAATCTATATCTAAATCCAGACATAGAAATTTGGAGTATAGATATTGTCATAAAATGGGGCACATTAAGATTGATTGCTTTAAATTGAAAAATAAATTAAAGCAAAAGAGAAAAATTATTGAGAAAACTACTGAATCTGCTGAACCCAGCGTAACAGCCGATGAGAATGTTGGAAATATTTTCTTTGCTACTAATGACATAACAAGGTCTAAAACTGAATGAATTTTAGATTCGGGTTATTTTTATCACATGTGTTCTAATAGAGATTTGTTTTCCACATATCAATCTTGTAATGGTGGAATTGTTTTAATGGGCAATAATGTCGCGTGTGATGTTGTTGGTAGAGGCACAATCTGAATTAAAATACATGATGGTATTGTGAGGACGCTCACTAATATTAGATATGTTTCTAATTTAAAAAAGAATCTCATCTCTTTAGGCACCTTAGAGGCTCTTGGATGTAAATACGTAGTTGAAGGTGGAGTTATTAAAGTTTCTAGAAGTGCCCTTGTTGTTATGAAAGCTTGTAGGTCTGGTAGTTTGTATATTTTGCAGGGAACTACTATTACAGGCTCGGTTGTAGTATCGTCATCATCAGATTCTGACATCACCAAATTATGACATATACATTTGGGTCATATGAGCGAAAAAGGTTTAAGCATATTAAGCAAAAGGGGTCTACTTTGCGGACAGAGTACTGGGCCATTAGATTTCTGTGAACAGAAAAGAGTCAACTTCAATTCTCCGACAGTTCACAAAATAAAAGGTACTCTTGACTATATTCATTCAGAGCTTTGGGGTCTAGCTCGTGTTCAGTCTAAGAGTGGTGCCAGGTATATGTTGACTTTCATTGACGATTATTTCAGGAAGGTGGAGCAAGTTTTGTTGGGACATGCCAAGATGGAGATTTGTTAGTTTGGCAAGCCCCACATAGTCCCACATCAGGAAAACCAAGCTTATTATCTCCTATTGTAACTATAAATAAGGCCCTAAGCTTTAAAGTCAGGTGCACCATAAGAAAATCTAATTATTTGCTTTAGACTTTTTTTATTCAATAATTTTCGGTGTTTTATGGCCTAGGAACATCTTTCTAAGGCATTTATAATAGTCTTTTTATAGTAGATGTAAATCAATTGATCGAACCATGTAAATCTTCTAGGGTCAGTTCTAACAAGTGGTGGGAGACCTGTGCGCATAATATGATTTTATCATTTAAGAGACATAGAAAGGTTTATTTTCTCTGTTCTTGGAGTGTGCCTTTGAGCCAGAGATATTTACCAATTTTATTATTATTATTATTATTACTATTATTATTATATTGTTGGACACAATTATATCTTTACGACTTTGAGGTAACATGATAACACTGAGAAGAAAAGGGTGACATCTTGAGGTGCATGCATGGGATACCAACTCTTTGTCCTTCGTTCAAATAATAGCCAGGTTCTCTACCTTCCCTCTCAAAAGAGTCCAAAATCCAAAAGAAAACAAACGTGAGTTCTCTCTGTTATCCTAATCAGCTTTGCAAGTCCTTTGTTCAATGCTGATCTCGTGTGTATATATCCACCCTTCCCAAGATCCAAAATCAAAACGATGACTGTTTCTTACTGACTGTTCGATGTAGATGTTGGAATCAAAGGACAAGAGACTTGGACAATCGAACTATATGCATGCGCGCATGTACAGCAACAGGGGAGAGTCTCATCTTATCCACTTTTCCTATATAAGAGAGTAGTATGCCATGGATTAGTTCTGCGAAGGAAGGAAGGAAGAGAGCAACATCCTCGTGGTTCAATATGGCGAGCTTATCACCACTGCTAGTAGCAGTCCTGTGCCTGTTACTTGCAATCACAGGAAGACTGCATGCTGAATCGTGTATTGGAGTCTACTGGGTCAAAATGGCAACGAGGGAAGCTTACGAGAAGCTTGTGCCACCGGCAACTACAAGTACGTCCTAATAGCCTTCCTCAACCAGTTCGGCAACGGCCAGATTCCACGGTTGAACCTCGCCGGCTACTGTGACCCCAACAGCGGCGGCTGCACTTTCCTGAGCAACGACATAATCTCATGCCAGCAGGACTACAACGTCACGGTGATGCTCTCCCTGGGCGGTGCCATCGGCAACTACCACCTGGTGTCCAAGGAGGATGCCAGGGATGTCGCCGCCTACATCTGGGACAATTTCTTGGGCGGCTCATCCCCCAACCGGCCCCTCGGGAACGCCGTGTTGGACGGGGTAGACTTCGACATCGAGGGAGGGAGCAGAGACCACTGGGACGACCTTGTTCGCTACTTGAATGCCTACAGCACGCCGGGGCAGAAAGTTTACCTGAGCGCGGCAACACGCTGCTGCATGCCCGACTATTACCTTCAAACCGCAATCGACACCGGTCTCTTCGACTAACTGTGGGTGCAGTTATGCGACATCTACTGCCAGTGCTCCCTCAGCGACGTTGACACCTTTTTTGGGATATGCGACCGGTGGGCTTCCATGAACGTAAGCAAGGTGTTCCTCGGACTCACTGTTCATCGTGGAAATGACTGCGTCACACCTAAGGACCTCGTAAACATAGTTATTCCCATCATCAAACATTGCGATAAGTATGGAGGAATTATGCTGTGGAACCGATACTCTGACGCTATCACTAACTATAGCGCTCAGGTGAAGGACTACGTGTGTCCTGATCGTCGTCTGTACTCCACCGCGGCTACTTTGGTGGCGTCGTCTTCCGTGTGAACTGGAACTGTGTGCGCGTCCAGTTATGATGCTTCGCCGATGCGCAATGTGTGGTGTCCTCTAATAATACAATAAACACCTGCTGTGATTGCGTAATGATATGTCCCCATCTTAATATTTTCTCAAAGTATATACGCATGGTTATTTCCAATAATAATAACAACAACAATGCCTGATTATAATAATAACGATTCGTGTCTTTAGGATTCTTCGAATCTTTTCTTAGATCCTTCATTTGGACAACGAGAATAGATTTTCTACCTATACCTACACGAAAGGATTGGATTCTTCGAATCTTTTCTTTGTGTTGCTTAACTTTAGCAGATCAATAAGGGTTATAAAGGACATTGATCTCAACACAGTGACAATAAGGGTTATATCTATATATATATATATATGCGCATGAGAATTATCACT